AAAGGCGCCGGGCCGTGCGAGAAAGACAACCGAGGAAGAGGACGCTCACCTCTGAAGCAGCAGTGAGGCGAGTCCGTTTAAAACAGCTTCTACTTCATAGAATGGAGCTTAATTTAGACGTTTCTACATCGACGGTGAAACGAAGGTATGTAACATTTGTAGTATAATATTGAGATTCGCCTCTAGCTGGCGTGGGACAGAGTGTGCTTCGTATGTGCTCTGATTTTCGAAAGCATTTTCTCTGCGAATTTTTGTCACTGGTGAGTGTTTCACATATTATTTTACTGCTTAACACGTGCGCTTTCAAACACCGTTTTATTTTTTTAAAATCGGTATATTTTTCGGGAATTGCGGCCCTTTTTGGTCGTGACCACGTGGTTGATAAACGATCATATGTATCTCGTTTATTCCTTGTCGTACTTTTTCGCTATATGCACCGTTGTTTTCGGCTCTATATACCGTCTTGTTTGATATAAAAAATGTTATTTTTTGTTTCTTAGATCATTCGTTATCGTGACCGTTGTTGGCCAACTTTCGGCCGGCGTCCTGGCCGATTTATTAGGCCGTTGGTGCTGTTATTTGGTTACTGGTTAGACGGCACTTGTGCTGTTTAGGGGGTACGGCTACTTGAGAGGTTTTCTTCCATAAAATTAATCAAATCTAGATTAATTTCACTCCGAATATTTCCAAAACACGTATAATTTGTTTGAAATGATCGATATAAAATATGAACAAAAAATTGTCGGAATACTTATCGAGTGTATCCGTTCGAAGACTCAAACGCTCTCTTGAGCATTGCCAAAAACACCTGGGATGTTGGCTACAAGGCACCATATCTATCTTGGCGCTATCGAGCCTATCCTTTTATGCGCTACACCAATTTGGGCCTCAGCAACAAAAAATGTGTATATTTAGCGAAAACTAAAAGCTCAACGGATCGCCGCCCTGTGTATCTGTAGGGCCTACCGCACAGCTCCAACTTCGGCCTTGCTGGTGATTGCTGGTCTCATGCCGACGCACATTAAGGCGAGGATGGCTATGTGGCTGTGGCACGCCCGCAACCACTCAACAAGCTCCTGTAACAGCTGCAAAGACTTCTTTAGTTTCTTCATCAAGAATGAAAAGGAAGACCTGAAGCGCTACAAGACAGAAAGTAAATCCTACGAACTTAGCAATAGTCAGGAGTACCCATGGCTCCAGGACCGTTCCTCTCAAGTTGAGAATATTGACATTTCCATCTACACCAGTGTTTCTCAACGGGGGCGATATTGCCCCCATGTGGGCGTTTTTCCATGTTGAGGGGGCAATTAGTAACAATTTATATTTTGGGGGGCGAAAAAAAATTTTCTGGGCGATATAGTAAAACATTATATTAAGAATAATTAGATATTTTATTCGTTATATCGTACAATAATTAAACAAATAACACTATACTAGTCACTAGTCTATTCAATGCAGTACGAATTTGGCATTAGCCTTGGCCCTCGGCATCGGAATTTTGAAGTGAAGGGGGCGATACTACGTTGAAGGGGGGCGACGGTTCGTTACAGGTTGAGAAACACTCTGGTAGATGAATGAAAAAGTTAAAATAGTTACCTAACACTATAGGAGCATTATATTTGTGATTTTTGTAAATGATTAGCTTCTTCTCTGTACATTTCTTTATTACTATTATTATTAAATCATTTTTACGATAAAATACATTGGAGTAAATAATTACAAAATTATTTAACATTCTTTGTATTTTCCTATTTGTTTTTGGATACATTAAAGCATTTTTTGAAAATATACAGTAAGGTTCCATATTACCACCCGGTTTTCCCTAAGCCTACTTTCTCACTTTTTGTACAAAAGCCTTCAAAAACCATACTTATAGTTACACTAGCGAAAAATCCAATTGGAAACATTTAGTTTAATTTAATTTAATAGTTACCAGTACTTTTCGCGCAAAAAATGTGGGTGTAGTTATGATATCTTGTTTACAATTCACTACAATGAAAATAGGGTTCCATAAAACCACCTTCTCCTCTAACCTTTAGAGATAATTTTTAGTTCTCTAATTATATATTTGTAAGTTCACATTTCGATAAATAAAGTTTTATTCGTCAAAATGTGAACTTACAAATAAATTTCATTGGTAGAACGAGAACATCAAACGTATTAAATAAATATTGATATTTAATACGTTTGTTGTACTCGTAATTACGTTTATGTGATACTGTAATTATGAAAATTGAATTTCAGACGACACAAAAACGTGTATAATAGGAAATATTTATTAATATATATCTATTAAGAATATTTATAAGTAAAGGTTTTTAATAAATTAACGTTTATATCTCATTTAGTGCAAAAGGTAATTGATTATTTTATTTATGCGAAAATGTTAGGCAATAAAATTTATTCTTGATTTTTTTTCAGTTGTACGAGATTCAGTGAAATTGGTTTATTTGTCACTAATGTTTTGGTCACACAGTTAAGAAAATTGGGGTAATAAAAATATTCGATTACATCAGAAACAAACGTCTTATGCAATTCCTAGGACAGAATAAAATTAAAATCTTTGGCTTTATTTTCATTTCATTAAAAAATGTCATTTAGTTTACGTTTTGGAGAAGTAATTTAGCATTTCTTTTAGCTAATATTTCTATTACATTTTTATAAATATTGCTAATATCGTTGAAATATGTCTATATATATATGGATGAGAATGTTTGTTTATTATACACTCCTAGGCCGTTGGGCCAATTGCTATGAAACTGTTACGTTTATATACTCCTGACTAAAATAATGTCATAATGTCGTACATCCCACCCCAAAATATCTATTCGATTTCTGTAAATCAATTCATTTCTATCTACATTAGAAATGCTGATTTACAAGTAGCGTCATCTATTGGCAAAAAATTTAACAAAATAATAAATTAGATATAATTCTTATAAAACAATATGTAATTTTAAAATATATATATTATATTCACTTAATTGCTGCGACAATGATATAGCGCGAAATAGACGCTCTATATAATTATTGTGACAGGTAGCATATAGCACTTCTCTGTGTGCAATCGAAAATGTTACCCTGTGAAAAATCTATAAGTATTTAATTTTCTGCATCTAACGACTTTGGTTTTTTTATTTTTGAACGGTACTTTCTTAATTCTAATAAGCACCCTCCGGTAGCCTAGTGCATAAAACCACCGAACTCTGGTAGGTAGTTAGTCGCGAGTTTGGGCAAACGGGCTGGCCACGTGGAGTTTTCTGAGTTTTCTCCACCTAAGTAGGGTCCAACTTCCAATAAAAGTCTTCTGGTATTCATCCCCTCGGCAGATCGCTCACGTGTCGCGTTGCAGTAACTAAATAAACCAATTTCAATGAGCGATTATTTATTGTGACATCGTCACAATGTTGGGCTGTAACTTTTCGTCACAATGTTCTCAAGTTTTTTAGTGGTGGTCTTGCCCTTGTACGGTACGTATACTTTTCCTATTAGCAATAGAGTCGTGCCAGTTATCTATCTAACTCCGTTCAGGGAAAATTTTGAATCTAAGTAACGTAATTTTCTTTCCAAACTGGAAGTTTCTGTATATTTAATCTGGGCCTCCTGCCCCTAAGCGTTCTAAATTTGTCCTCAACTTTCACGTATCGTACTTCGTTTTTGAGATTGAGAAAGGACAGACAGACAGACAACAGTCGAAATTTATCAGTTCAATAATTTTTCTATAAACGCGATATTTACGAAAACATACTTTCCACATAATTTATGCAATCTGTTGCAAAAATATAAACACTTCATACAAAATTCTTTGGAATATTGAGCTATTTGAATCCAAAGAATCCAAAGAAATTACAGTAATATATATACAATTTAAAATAACAAAATAATAAAATAGATAAAAGATGTCGGTTAAAGGTTGAAAACGTTCGTTACGGTTAATAAATAATTTTCAGTGAGATAAGGTGTTTTTGCGTAGGTATAACATAAAAGCAATTATTCTCACAGTTTTACCATGTACAAGGTTTCTTTTTTTATTTAAACAAGTTGTACGAAGTCTTTCAGACATTATGGTTAGCACTCGATCACGTGCGGAGCCGTCATGATCTTTCCAACACGGATCACTTTTCAAATATTAATAGTAGACCTGTATTAATTAGTGGCTGACCATTCTCTCTTCGAGGAGGAGGTCGACGACTACTTTTGCTCGAATTACTTCGACCCCCTTCCGCAACGGTCCCGAATATCTATCGGACCAGCGGTATGGTGGCATTGGAATTGGAAAATCCAAAATACGAAGTTACTGGCCTGCACAAAATATGATTTAATTAACTGGTTTTCCAGGGTGCCGAGTTTAAATATTTGGTTCGTTTTTCGCGAAATTTTGATTCGTTGTCAGATGACCATTTGATATTCGGCTGTAAATGGAACAGTTTCTTAGAGGTAACATTCTTAGAAGTACAGAAAAAATTTAAGATACCACATTTTCAATTGGTGACTACTGACAATGAAATTGTGCCATTTCATACCGTTCCGGTATCGTGATAAACTTGACAATGGCAGGCTAAAAAGCCAAACTCTTTATATGGTTTTCGTTTTAATATTTATTATATTATAGTATTTGATTTATATAACTACAAAGGTTATATTACGTAAGAGTTTATCACACCGAGTGCTCCCTCTGACACATTTTCAAAATTTTTTATTTCTCTACTGTACACAATTTAAAGAATTTTTAAAATGCGTTTAGGCATTTGGTGTTTTAAACTTTTACCTAAGATAACATTTGTAGTTATATAAATCAAATACTATAATATAATATAAGCGTTAGAAGTACGAAATAATCTATCAGATTATTTTGTACTTCTAACCCATTTATTATATTACTTCTATTATATTATTCTCTATATATTTCTAATCTTAATCTTTGGTATCGTTATTTTTTGCCGTGCTGCACCGGGCTCATCTGCTAATATTTATTTAAAACTGTTATTTTTATAATTTAGAAAAAAAACGAAAAAATCGAAGAACCAAAAATCAATCTTCCATCAACTTCTGAAGCTCCAGTTATCGTTCCAAATACCTCCGTTTTTACAAAAGATAAAGAGAAACCGAAGAAAAAGCCTAATCTAAAACCAAAGGAATTTCATAACGAAGACACTCTGCAACATGTCATATATCAACTGGCTAAAGATATGTTCAGATACAGTTTAGTATTCGGTAAATTATAACTTTCTTTTTTGATATACACCATTTCATTTAATAATAATTATTGTATTTAATTAAAATTATTTCAATTTCATTTCTCATTCATTTTTAAGCAGTGATAGTATTTCAGTAAAGGTAATATCATCGCTAAAATATTTACAATGTGAATGTGAAATGCTATAGTTATACTAATTTTTAAAAAGATGTATGAGTTTTTCTATCGTATAATTGTAATTACTATAAATTTCATAAAATTGTATAGAACATCTTACTTTTACTTCTTTGATTATGAGTTTATCTTATAAAAATTTCATTACTTTTAAAAATAAATTAGTTACATTCGGCCAGCTTTTTAACAAGGGAAATTGTCAAACCCATAAGGTAAATAAATAATGTTTTAAGAACTATTTTGATATATTTCTTTCTGAAAACCGAAAATGAGGTTTATACAGTATTTTGTGTTCATATTTTCAAAGTGCAAAAACAATGCCCTCAAAAATAANAAATTTTATATCATATTGTAATACGATATATTAGATTATATAATATTTAGATTAATATTATATATACACAATTCAGGAGAAAGTTTTCCGATCAAAATTTATTTTACTATTGCAGTTTAATCTTTATGAATAAAGATAAATTTTATCGAGTGTACCGTATTTCATAGGACAGCAATTATTTTTTATTCGCTCTTGTTAAAGTATTTTCGTTTCCTTAAACGATGTTAGTTTGTCGTATTATATTTTGAATTTAATTTGGATTGGTTTTTACATAAGAAAATCATAGTTTAACCTTTATTTTTTACATGTTTAAGATATTTTCCTTTGTTTATTTGTTCTTTAGAATTTTGCTGCTATCATTTAATTTTATCTATCAATAGAATTATATGGACTTTGAGTGAATAATATAAACTATTCATACAAAGTCCGTATATTACTCAGAACGTCCAAATATCTTTTACACTCAATTTATTTTAATTCTTTTTATTTCGTTTATTTAACGATTTAAACGAAGGGACTTGGGCACTTTTGCCTATACATTAACATTAAAATAATAACTAATAGCACATTAAGTAAACATTTATATATAATTGTTGCGCGGCGTAATTATTCCATTTTTATTTGATTTACTTTTCCAAAATTCATTCTGTTTGGTCCTTTAGATAGGGGCTTTGGTACTGCTCATTCAGAGCATTTTCCATTTGCCTGTCTCTGCATATGTATCATATATACAGTATGTATTGTATTGTACAGTACATATATACTGTACACGGTTATGCATAGAAGCTGTATGTACAGTATGCATATACGCAATGCAATTTGTATGTATATATATATTAATGTAAATTATATATGCATGCATATCTATAGTATTCTACACTAATTTTTTCCGTCCTCCGTTGTTTTAGTATGATCAAAATAGAAGTTACTGAAATAAATGTCCGTCTAATGAAAGTTACTGTAGATCTGCTGTATTTATAATGAATTTTCTAACATTTCTTTAAGAAGGATACTTCCTGTTTGTATAGGATGTTTGTTTGTATAGGATGAGAAACATGGTGTAGTTATTTCTCGACAATACAAACGATTAGGCCTAAAACAATATTTGAGATAAATAATTGGGTGTTGATTTCATTTATTAGTCTTTGTATTGGATGAAAAATAAACAAACAACGAGTCAGACATTAGAATATTTTTATATTAAATAAATATTTAAATGCTTCGATCAACGATTAAATTATATAGGATATTTACCTTTATATATAAAGATTTTTTCTACTCTTCCGCCTTGCGGGCACTAAAAGAATCTTTTTTTTTTTTTTTTTTTTTATTTCGTGATTTGGCCAGCTCTACATTGGGAACGGCGGATGATGAAGGACTGAATTCATCCTTCGTGAAAATTTCTAAGCCGATCTGGATTCGAACCCGAGCCTTCTAGAGCGGCAGTCTGGTTATTTTATAATAAATCATTTCTGACTTTTCCATTTGTGCAAGACTTTTTGTAAAACTGAAAGCTTGCACGTCTATACTGATGTAACGGTTCCAATACGACTTAGGCTATCGGTACATTGTAATGTTAAAGAAGTATTTCATACATTCATGTTTAAAGTTTCATTGTGATTTCAATATTTAGTATATTTTGTATATGTAGTTTATATTTAGATACTATGTTTTATTACATTTAGTAATATGAAAATTTAGTTTAGATTTAGATAATATTATATGTATCTATATGTATATTATTGATATACGTTAAGGCTATCCATAAATGACGTCCACACTGAAAGGGAGGGAGGGGATTATGATAAGTCGGGCAGAGTCGGACAAGGGGGGGAGGTGTTGAACTTCAATTGACGTNATCATTGATTTTTCCGTTTTATCTGAATTACATGTTGTACGAGTCACTTAGATTTTACAAATATGTGAGCCGTTCACAGCCCGGCACACGTATTTGTAAAATCTAAGTGACTCGTACAACATGTAATTCAGATAAATCGGAAAAATCAATGATCTTATAGGGGGATCGACTGTACATTAATATCAAAAACTGGAATGTCTCAAAGGAGTTAATTAAGCGATCATCTAGCCCGCTGTGGACGGCTATAAAAAGGTTAACTCTTTCCGCCCTGTGGGCACTAAGAGGGCCTCTTTTTGCAAGCCCATTATGAGTTCGGCCAGGCCCACAATGGGGCTGCCGGGTGGTGAGGGACGGGGTCCGACATATCCGAACGGACCACCCCCCGAAAAATTCCTGGGGATTTTTCGACCCATTCGGATTCGAGCCCGGGTCCCCAGAGCGGTAGGCTGCCACCTTGACCGCTCGGCCACCCGGCCGCCTGGACTTAGCGGCTGGAGCGGCTGCTCTGTTCGCCCTGTGGTAGGGCCGGCTCTGATTGCACCGGGACACAGGTTCTGTGTCGCCGGGAAAGGCGCCGGGCCGTGCGAGAAAGACAACCGAGGAAGAGGACGCTCACCTCTGAAGCAGCAGTGAGGCGAGTCCGTTTAAAACAGCTTCTACTTCATAGAATGGAGCTTAATTTAGACGTTTCTACATCGACGGTGAAACGAAGGTATGTAACATTTGTAGTATAATATTGAGATTCGCCTCTAGCTGGCGTGGGACAGAGTGTGCTTCGTATGTGCTCTGATTTTCGAAAGCATTTTCTCTGCGAATTTTTGTCACTGGTGAGTGTTTCACATATTATTTTACTGCTTAACACGTGCGCTTTCAAACACCGTTTTATTTTTTTAAAATCGGTATATTTTTCGGGAATTGCGGCCCTTTTTGGTCGTGACCACGTGGTTGATAAACGATCATATGTATCTCGTTTATTCCTTGTCGTACTTTTTCGCTATATGCACCGTTGTTTTCGGCTCTATATACCGTCTTGTTTGATATAAAAAATGTTATTTTTTGTTTCTTAGATCATTCGTTATCGTGACCGTTGTTGGCCAACTTTCGGCCGGCGTCCTGGCCGATTTATTAGGCCGTTGGTGCTGTTATTTGGTTACTGGTTAGACGGCACTTGTGCTGTTTAGGGGGTACGGCTACTTGAGAGGTTTTCTTCCATAAAATTAATCAAATCTAGATTAATTTCACTCCGAATATTTCCAAAACACGTATAATTTGTTTGAAATGATCGATATAAAATATGAACAAAAAATTGTCGGAATACTTATCGAGTGTATCCGTTCGAAGACTCAAACGCTCTCTTGAGCATTGCCAAAAACACCTGGGATGTTGGCTACAAGGCACCATATCTATCTTGGCGCTATCGAGCCTATCCTTTTATGCGCTACACCAATTTGGGCCTCAGCAACAAAAAATGTGTATATTTAGCGAAAACTAAAAGCTCAACGGATCGCCGCCCTGTGTATCTGTAGGGCCTACCGCACAGCTCCAACTTCGGCCTTGCTGGTGATTGCTGGTCTCATGCCGACGCACATTAAGGCGAGGATGGCTATGTGGCTGTGGCACGCCCGCAACCACTCAACAAGCTCCTGTAACAGCTGCAAAGACTTCTTTAGTTTCTTCATCAAGAATGAAAAGGAAGACCTGAAGCGCTACAAGACAGAAAGTAAATCCTACGAACTTAGCAATAGTCAGGAGTACCCATGGCTCCAGGACCGTTCCTCTCAAGTTGAGAATATTGACATTTCCATCTACACCAGTGTTTCTCAACGGGGGCGATATTGCCCCCATGTGGGCGTTTTTCCATGTTGAGGGGGCAATTAGTAACAATTTATATTTTGGGGGGCGAAAAAAAATTTTCTGGGCGATATAGTAAAACATTATATTAAGAATAATTAGATATTTTATTCGTTATATCGTACAATAATTAAACAAATAACACTATACTAGTCACTAGTCTATTCAATGCAGTACGAATTTGGCATTAGCCTTGGCCCTCGGCATCGGAATTTTGAAGTGAAGGGGGCGATACTACGTTGAAGGGGGGCGACGGTTCGTTACAGGTTGAGAAACACTCTGGTAGATGAATGAAAAAGTTAAAATAGTTACCTAACACTATAGGAGCATTATATTTGTGATTTTTGTAAATGATTAGCTTCTTCTCTGTACATTTCTTTATTACTATTATTATTAAATCATTTTTACGATAAAATACATTGGAGTAAATAATTACAAAATTATTTAACATTCTTTGTATTTTCCTATTTGTTTTTGGATACATTAAAGCATTTTTTGAAAATATACAGTAAGGTTCCATATTACCACCCGGTTTTCCCTAAGCCTACTTTCTCACTTTTTGTACAAAAGCCTTCAAAAACCATACTTATAGTTACACTAGCGAAAAATCCAATTGGAAACATTTAGTTTAATTTAATTTAATAGTTACCAGTACTTTTCGCGCAAAAAATGTGGGTGTAGTTATGATATCTTGTTTACAATTCACTACAATGAAAATAGGGTTCCATAAAACCACCTTCTCCTCTAACCTTTAGAGATAATTTTTAGTTCTCTAATTATATATTTGTAAGTTCACATTTCGATAAATAAAGTTTTATTCGTCAAA